GGCAATTACCGTGACCTAATTTTAAATGGCGTTTTTAACACCAAAAAACGTGCTTGAAATTTGTGATTTTCGGAAAGAAAAAGAAAACTTAATGCAAAAAATAGAAATACGGATTTAAACTTCATGACCTTTGCTTTAAAACAGTGTAAAGTTTTTGATCACATGAATGACTGTAGAGATGACAATTAAAATTTTATTCACGTTAGTTAAATTATCAGCCCCGCTGATTTTCAGAATCACGTGACGCTAAAACAAACACAATGTTCACAAAATATTAATAATAGGAAAAGTACAAGTCAAGAGCTTTCCAAACATATATAGATTGTATGGTTTCTTGTAAAATTTATTCCGATTATAGGTGTTTACATTTTTCATGCAAAAAAACTATCCTGCTACCTTAAACTAATGCACAGATTTGATTAAGTTTTGGTAAAAATCAATGCATATTAATTAACTAATTTGCATGATAATTACCTTATTTTTAGCTGTTCCACTAATATCTAACGAACCACTCATTGGATTTTGATGAAACTTGGTACATAGATGCTCTAAACTAATGCACAGATTTGATTAGTTTTGGGGGAAAATTTGTGCATATTAATTACCTAATTTGCATAATGATTAGTAAATTTTCGGCTTTTCCACTGATATCACAGGTACTAATCATCACATTTTAATTAAACTTACATAAATACATAGGACAATGCACAGACTGACGTGAAATATTAACTACGTAATTTGCATAATTAATCAATTTTCAGCTTTTGATATATTAAGTACTATTACTTTTCAATGAAACTTGGCACATAGATGCTCTAGAACAATGCAGAGACCTGATTAATTTTGGGTACAAATGTGTGCATATTAATCAACTAATTTGCATAATTAGTTAATTTTTGTCTTTTATTGCAAGTACTAATTATCCCATTTCAATGAATCCTGAAACATAGATGTTCTAGGAAAATGCACTGACCTGATTAGCTTTGGGCTAAAATCAGTGCATATTAATTACCTAATTTGCATAATAATTCATAATTTGTTGGTTCTAATCACATTTCGATGAAACTTCATACATAGATGGTCTGTGACAGTACATATATACTCTAACACAAAATGATCAAATTAGGTTTAGGTTTATATTCATCTATAATAATAACCTAATTTGCATAATAATTTACTTTTCAACTTTCCACTAATTTACTCATCACATTATAATGAAACTTCATACATGTGTGTTCTGAAACAATATACAGACCTAATCTATGCATAATAAATTCGCCCAGGGCCGTTAAACGGCAGTTTGGGTTTTTAAAAAAATAAAATGGGACCAAATAACCGCCCAGTTTTTTAAGGTGTTATTTTAATCTTTTCTGGTGCCTAAAAGTTTCGCTGTAGTCATCGTCGCCTATTCAAAAGTATTATCATTCCGACAATGAGCTGTTATCGCTGTAAACAATGTTAAATTATTCTTCAAATGCACAGTTTATCTTTAGAAAACAAGTACTTTTTTTTATTTAAAAACAAATCATGACGCTTTCCCATCAAAATCCAAGCAAAAAGATTGTACAACAACATCGTCAAATCTCCGTCTCCACGTACTGCGTTCAATAACATAAACATATTTAAATGAGCTTATGGTATTTTGATCACGTTGGCATCATCCATCGTTTTCATTGGTTAATTATCGATTTGACCTGTCAGGTCAAAGAACATCGTCTCAGGTCAAACATGGCGGATATTCATTTCTACAGCATCGATCGCTGAAAATGCGATCAGAATCATTTGCTTACAATGAAATAAATTGAAATTTATTTCCATTTCATAACAATTCAACAAATTTATTTTTTTCACGTTATTATTATCATTACTAGGTAATAATCAACAATTGTAAAACACAGCATGGCCGGATTGCGATACCGCGATCATTTGCTACTAAGCAATGCAGTTGGGTTCGTTTTTATTTGAAACTTCTTTTAGAATATACTTTTGTTACTAATAAAATGAAACAAAATAATTGTATTTGGCGCACAAGGTTCCTTTATGTTATTTTTTTTTTGGAGAAAATTGCGCTGTCTAATTTTTAATCCAGCAAGAAAAAAATGTATAAAATTTTAGATTAGCTTCTGCAATAGTTTCTTTCATTTTGGGTTGTCCAAAATATAAGCCCGCCTAAAAATATTTGATGATAATTTTTTGAAAATTTGAATCCCAAATAAGGGCCCACCAGCCGTGAAACCGCCCAGGGCGATTTTTCGGATGGGTGAATTTACGGCAGAATCCGGTAGTAGTTACCAGGCTTCTTGTTTGAAAAGCAAATTAATTTTAATGTGTCTCCAATACTCTCAGCACACAGGAGTTCTTTCTAAGCTTTCTAAGCTTTCTTTGATTTTCTTATATTCTTATATTTTTAGTTATGAATCCTAATTTTGGAGCCAGCAGACTAAATGTGAGTCAGTGTTTGTCCCAATATTCTGAAAGAAAGTGCAGACTATAAACGGGACTATTTTTTTGTGAATTTGTGTTGAAAGGATGAAACTGGTGGTGAACAGTTTTAAAGATGCCAAAGAAATGTTTACTGCTACATCACTTGTCTCTCCCAAAATCAAAGTTGTCAGTAATTATTCTAAATGTAAATATTGCCCCCCCCCCTGCATAATTTATTTATAATAATCTCTATTTATATATTATTCTATTTTTTTTTTTTTTTTATACTTTATCTCTTTATTGTATTTTAGTCAAAATATCCCATAGTGGATACAATATCAATAAAGGTTATTATTATTACATTGTATTCTAGAAATCAAAATGGCCCCTGTCCATCTATTGACACTCAGTGATTAAACCATAAACTTACTTAGACATGGAACAGTGTATTTTATTCTCTCTACAAGTTCTGTATTTATGTATGCTATATCATATGACATGCTACATACACAAGGTCAGTTTATCACTAACTACTGCCATACTTTGCTTGTTTTCAGGTCACTGCTAGGTAACCCAATACATTGAGCTCAAGAAGGAGCTTCTAATGGTAAGTGAGTGTATGTGATTATTTGGATATAATCTGGTAATCTAGAATTGTCAGGGGAAATGTTTTGAGGCTCAGTGCAGACTAAGACCATAAGAGCAGGATAAAAAATGGCATTGCATGAAATTATACAAGTACTACTTTATGTCAAACAACTAGCTCTTAACTTCCCCCAAAAATATTGCCCATTCAAATATTTAATAATTACAATATTTTCAATTTGTGTCCCATATAATAATAATAATATAATATGTGGTGGTATAAGACTGACCTGCATCGATGGTAAACAAAAAAAGTCATGAAAACAATACATGTATGATCAACTGTGATATCCACTGTGTCCTATTGTCTTAGCTGCAGTAATATTTGTCGGTATTTGATCCACACCATGCGTTAATTTTTGAACCTGTGTTATTACTCAATCCTGGTGTTATTTTTTTGATTCATGGTAAAAAAAAAAAAATTTAAACTCCAAATTTCGAAATAACATCACTTTTTTTCAACCATACCAGTATTGATCACTTTTCAGTATTATACATCATTATTCTCATTATTAACAACAAAACTGACATTCATACTCTCAATATTTTCTCATTTTCGTATAACAACCAACTTTAGAATGTTCTAAAGCAACACTTGGGTGGTTCAATTCCCAAATGTGGATATTCCCAAACTGAGTGGTTACCAAGATTAATAGGTAATTCTTTTAGTGATTGGAGGGTATTAAAGGAATCGCTGGCGGCACCCAGGTCAAAACTCGTACTCCTGATTTCATTGAAAGAGCACACTGGATTACAGGAAAATCAATGTTTATCAAAACAAATGTTAAACATGACTTGGATTTGTAAACACAGGGAGTCTTTCAGCTCCGCTGTCAACTTTGTCGAGCGAGCTTATTATATGAGTGATTTGTACATCGCCGTCCGTGTCAACTTTTTACTTTTTCGACTTCCTGTTTCCGTAGAGTTTAAAACCCGTATTTTCACTTAAAAAATAGTTAATAATATTGATGTATCAATAAATGATTTTAGTTGAGAAAGTAGCAGCCATTTTACAAACAATCTAACTTCATATTATACAAACGGTTCAGCAGATGATTGTCACCTCGAGGCCATACCCAATCCAGCCAAATCTATGGGACGTTAAAAAGAAAGAAAAGTAATCCAGCCTCATATAATTAACATTAAAGTTTATTTCACTGATGTAGTCAGTGAGTTTTGTTTTACTGCATGTTTTGGGTCAACAGCTGACCCATTAGATCAGCCATTAATCACTACATTCCTATAGCTGTTCAGAGATAAAAAAAAAAAAAAAAAAGTGTAGAGATCTAGAAAACCCCTCAACTTACTATTAAAAATTAAGGTACCTTAAAATGTAATAAATCTCTAGTTTAGCATATGTTTTTTGATTGATGGTATATTAAAACTAAAACGCTCCTCTTTATCACAGACATGTCCAGACATGATTTCATTCAAACTTGGTATGAGTTTCCCACATGGTGGATCACTGCAAATCAATTATTTTTGCAATTTCAATCAAATCACTGATCTGGCCGAATCTGTTATGACCTGACCTTTTGTTGGCCATGGCTCAAAGAACATCAAAAGTGCCCACATGCGCAATTATGGCTTTCAGTATTGTCCCTTTAAATTTTGTCATCAGCGGAACTTTTTTCCATATTTTTTTGCAAAAACTAACAGTAAATTTGTCCTGTTAAGAACAAAATTAACAAAAAAATAATCAAAAAACACCTAACATTGTGTTAAATGTTGCATGAACATTTTGGTGAGAAAAGTTTAGGCATTCAAAAGTTACTAAATTCTATTTTTCCCACAGTATTTCTACTGCAGGGGATAACTTTGATATTGAAACATGCTGCAGACAGTATTTCATCTGGTCACTCTACTTGTATCTATCCCCACTGTGATTGGTCAGCTAGTGGCAGTGAACAATGGGTTGACAGTTATGATTGGCCGGACAAAGTTCCTTGATCCAGCTGATTTGACCTTCAACCTTCCAGATGTTGATGAAGGTGAATGTAAAGTTGAAGTTGTTTTAAATGAACCAATGACGCAGCGAGTCGGTGTTCTTACTCCTCAGGTAAGGTGCATATATATAAATTTACCAAATCAGTTTTGTTAAAGCAGCTGATTCATAAGAGGGTCTTTATCATCACAGTTTTTGCAATTTTAAAGGTGCATTCTAGGATCATACCTAAAGTTGAAGAATAATTAGCATATTTAATGGTATTATGAAGCCAAATAAAATAAACAGTTTAGTCCTGCTAATATTGGAAATAAAAATAGGGTAGGTGGGTAGGAACAACTATTTATGTTATCATAATTTTTTATAAAAATTCACAATTTATTATTTTACTGTGCTGGTAGTGTACCACATCTTGTAAAAGTTGTTTTTGTTTGAAGAATTGATTAAACATTGCATAAAGAGACAAAAAGTGCCCATTTTCCAGTTTAGCCATAAAAGGATAAGGGTCCGGATAAAAAATCTAGGCACCTACTGAAACACATGTAAATGAATAATAATGTAAACAAAAAAAATCTTATAACTATAGGGCTTGTATGAACAAATGTTATCCTCAGACTTTGAATATATACACAGAGACATGAAACTAATCTAAGTGGAATAGAGATATAGCACCCTCTATCTAGCTAATGTAATTTCCCTTTGTTTTTTCCACAGGTATTTGACTAATTTCTATTCCACAACAGTGCAGTACAAACACCTTGGCTCACCAATCCTGTCATCTGACACCATCAAACTCAAAGTTTATCAAGACATAGCACCCTCTATCTAGCTAATGTATTTTTCCTTTGTTTTTTTCTCATGTATTTGACTGTAATTTCTATTCCACAACAGTGCAGTACAAACACAGTGGCTCACCAATCCTGTCGTCTGACACCATCAAACTCAAAGTTTATCAAGACATAGCACCCTCTATCTAGCTAATGTAATTTTCCTTTGTTTTTTTCACAGGTATTTGACTGTAATTTCTATTCTACAACAGTGCAGTACAAACACAATGGCTCACCAATCCTGTCGTCTGACACCATCAAACTCAAAGTTTATCAAGACATAGCACCCTCTATCTAGCTAATGTAATTTTTCTTTGTTTGTTTTTCTCAGGTGTTTGACTGTAATTTCTATTCCACAACAGTGCAGTACAAACACAGTGGCTCACCAATCCTGTCGTCTGACACCATCAAACTCAAAGTTTATCAAGACATAGCACCCTCTATCTAGCTAATGTAATTTTCCTTTGTTTTTTTCACAGGTATTTGACTGTAATTTCTATTCTACAACAGTGCAGTACAAACACAATGGCTCACCAATCCTGTTGTCTGACACCATCAAACTCAAAGTTTATCATTTAACAGACTCTCAGACGCAGACTCAGATTTTTGATTTGAACATAGAAATAGAAAAAATCGGCTATAAAGTATTTTTCCCAATTTCATCACTGCGAGTTGAAGATTTTTTGGGAATGTCTAATACTCTTGATCGACATGTCTTGGAGTTTTTGTACAACAGAGTGACCGGTGCGTCATGTGTGGTGACATTTTCACGTGTATTAGATCACCAGCCTCAGTTTGGACAGCTTGTAACGGGAGACGGGGAACATCGTAAAGTTTTACGGTATTTCAAAGAAAGTTGTGACGATTTCCTGAAAATGGGAATTCGATATGAGCACCTCCTCCCACCATCACCTGATATTGATTACGTGGCTTTAGCAGTTACGACTATTGATCCGCTTGACAATAACCGTGAATACCAAGAAAAATTGTTCCTACCCGTTCACATAATGCCGGGATTCAAGAACCAAAAACCAAGTGCATCATTCATAAGTATGTATGTCCTTGATGCCGATGAGTTTGTGTTAACGACAATAACCCCATTTGTACTGTCATCACAAGACGAGGAAACCCCCAATTCGCAGCTGGTCTTCAACATTAGTCATCCTCTTGAAAAAGGTCAAGGAGAAATTGTTCATCTCAATGATTTGTCTAAACCAGTCACGTCATTTTCACAGATTGATGTAGATAATTTTAATATTGCATACAACCCACCAAATATTAGCTACAGCGAAAGAAAGGTATACAATATTGAATTGACTGTTTATGATGGATATTTTGAAGCAAGTGAACCAATTATGTTGATGTTGGCAGTTCGATCATCATCAACAAATGCACCGAGAGTATCACTGAACAAAGGCTTGACAATGCTGGAAGGCCAGTCCCGGCCAATCACATTGGAGAACTTACAAGTAGTTGACAATGATAATCTCAAAGATGTAAGGCTGATTGTGATTGGTGGATTACAGCATGGGACTCTAAAGCAAAATGGCCACCCAATAATAATGTTCACGCCTTTCGACTTGCAACATGGTACTGTAAATTATTACCACGATGACAGTGATTCTACTAGAGACAAAATCGAATTGAGATTGACAGATGGAACACATAGTTCTCGACTGTCTCTTCCCATAAACATTCTTCCTAAAGATGACAGTCCACCATTTTTAATCACTAACGTTCTCTTTCAACTAAATGAAGGTGAGACTGTCCTTATTGGAAAAGAAATGCTACACGCAACCGACGCAGACTCCAGTGATGATTACATCACATATAAAATTACCCAGCAACCAAATGGCGGAGAAATTATCAAGAAATTTTCTTGGGATTCGTATGGACATCCAGTTGACCAGTTCACCCAGAAAGATCTGTTTCGGGGATTGATTTACTACCGGCATTTAGGGCAAGAAATATTTCAAGATTTCTTTTCATTTGTTCTGTTAGATAGTCATGTGCCACCAAACGAGTCACCAGAACATTCGGTTATTATTCATATTGAGTCTGTTGATGATCTACAGCCGCAGCCAATTAGAGGAACACACCAAGCAATTAGATTGAAGGAAACAGACATCAACTTTATTGAAAGAAACAATTTACAGTACACTGATGTTGAATCCGCTGATATGGAACTTGTATACACTATCACAACTCCACCGTATTTTGCAGACACACACAGTTTAAATGACGCTGGACGTGTTTTTTCAACCAACGGACTAACAATGCTTATGAAAGACCCAACAGTGGTTCCGCTTCGTACGTTTACGCAACATGAAATCAATCATCGCAAAGTGGCTTATATGCCTCCATTCAGGGAAATAGGAGCCACTGACAGACAAATACAGTTCATATTTTCTGTCAGCGATCCCTATGGCAACACTGTTGTGGGTCAGATTTTTAACATCACGGTGCTCCCAGTTAATAACCAATCACCAGTTATTTACACGAGTGACATGATCATTAATGAGGGCGGCAGTTTAATTATGGGACCGTCATTATTGGCAGCCGCTGACAAAGATACCAGTTTGACAGATTTGATTTTTTCAGTTGAGCGTCTACCCCAGTATGGTGTTCTTGAAAAAGATGCAGTTGTCATGGATACAGGTGACACTTTCAATATTGATGATGTTAATTCATTTAAAATCAGGTAAAATTTGTAATTTACATTACAATTTTTCAACTGACACATGTTTAAAAAATCACTAGCCGTTACACAATATTTTCAAATTTCATGTAAACAATGTATCCGACATCCATCGTGTGGGACCCACATTAGACATGACATTCCAACTATGACCATGACACTTTCATGCTTCAATCATAAATGTTAGCAACATCCACATCGATGTTTATATTGACTGTTTATATTGACACACGTATACATGTTATATTTTTCATAGAAAATCACACATGTTGACGTTAATGCATGTTTTTTCACATATTACAATAAAAAAATGTTTCACTAGATTTCATTTTTGCTGATTTATCACATCAGTAATAATAGCAGTGAAAAATATGAAAAACAAATTTCATAATTAGAAATTTTTTCACCTTTTGCTCAGTAATTGTCAAGTGCTTGGATTGGGAAGATGTATAATAATAAGGTTATTAAGAAGATAACACCAAGTATGCATTCACATAGTACATGTTCTCAACGACTTCTACTATGTGTTCACCGGTGTTCTCAAAATACTCACTTCATGCTTATTTTGTGATATCCCTTGTCGTGTACCAAATATTTACATGACATTATTATTTGTGGAAAACTGAATTATTCAAAAAAAATATCAATATCAAAATATTCGTTTTTCTGGTCATTTTGCACATCAGTTAAAACTTTTTTTTTCTGTCAGAATTTAAAAAAAACAACATTTTTTATGACAATTATGAAATAAAAATTTAAAAAAATGCTTGATGACTTTAATAATTTTTGAACAAATAGACATAATATCACTCTGACCACAGATCAAAATTTTTCTTTTTAAATCTGGTCAAATTTTATACAGCTTTATCTTGTGACAAATATTTATTTTGGCACTCAAAGAGTAAACCTTCCTAGAAGAACAAGATATGAGCTTTCAGAACATATGTGGGATGAATTGTTTTTGTTCACATTCCAGGTATACCCATGATGGTTCAGAAGTAGAAGCTGATAACTGTGCCCTGAGTATTAGTGACGGTGTGCAATCAACAAGTGAAGATATTTTCTTCAAAATCATACCAATCAATGACCAACTACCGCAGTTGAATGCAGGTTTGAACCCTAATATACGAGTTCCAGAGTCAGGTCATATGACTTTAACGCCAAGGATGTTATCTGCGATTGACAGCGATACAAATGATATGGTTCTTAATTTCATCATAGTTAGTCCTCCTGTTAGAGGAATCATGCAAAGAGACTTTGCTACGGTGACGACCTTCACTCAACGGGACATTGTAGATGGAAATATACGATATGTGCATACAGGTGGCGAGATTGGCCCGCGGCCTGTGTTTGATCGTGTGACAATTCTGGTATCTGATCAGATCATTCCATCAACGAGTAACTTGCCGCTACATGATTTAAACATCACCATTGTGCCGATAAATAACCAGCCTCCGAATATTTTATTATTTGATGCAATACATGTCCCTGAAGGTGGCAAGTGGGGTCTGACAAGAAATGTACTGGATGTCAACGATCCAGACACTGATGCTGACCAGATAATGCTCATAATTACCAGCCAACCAACATGGGGCTATTTGGAAAACATTCTCCCATCACCAGGCCATGAGAAAAGTAATGCTGGAAAACGAATTTCTTCATTTTCGTTTAAAGACGTTGTGGATGGAAATATATACTTCATGCAGTCGGTCCATGAAGGCGTTGAACCGACCTCGGATTGGTTTGTAGTTTATGCAGACGATGGTAAAAACATATCCCCACAGGTTACATTGAATGTTATGATCCTTCCGCAGAATGACGAGGTGCCGAACTTTGTTAGCAATGACATCACGCTAAATGAAGGTAGTGTTTATCGATTAGATCAGGCGACTATGAACATTGTTGATATTGATGTTCCGCAAGAAACACTGGTGGTTTCCATCAGTAAACAGCCAGAGCATGGATATGTCATAGACATGTCTAGTTATCGAAGAAAGAGGCATGCCCCAGGTGAGAAGTACGGGGAACGTCAACCAGAAGTGATTCATGAATTCACGGTTGACGCTTTCCTGACTTCTCTGGAGCTTGTTTACCAGCATGACGGATCTGAATCGACCAGTGATCAATTAGGAGTTCGTCTAACTGATGGCGTGCATACAGTCAGAAAGACAATCAACATCAACATTATACCGATGAATGATGAGCCTCCTGTAGTCATCAAGAATACTGGTGTTACGATTAATATGCATGAAACTGTGATTCTTTCTGCTGTAGTGCTACAGGCCAGAGACGTAGACACCACAGATGCTAATCTGATTTACACCGTACATAACACTCCAGATAAAGGGATACTGCAAGTTAAAAAGACTTACCTCAGACAGCTTCCAAGATGGGAACCAGTGGATCTCTATTCAAACTTCACCCAACATGATGTCAACATGAATCTCCTGCGATACGCTCACACAGGCGGTCTTGGTTCAAAAGCCAATGATAAATTTCGCTTCACTGTAACTGACGGGAAACATACAACCAGACGAGAAACTTTTGATATTAACATTCTGAACACAAAAAAAGATGACATCATGGTTACAAGTGGTGATGTGGAAGTTGGGGAAGGAAATGTTGTTGTCATAACAACTGATACATTGTCAGCCTCCGACAATACCAACTTATTAGATGAGATTGTTTTCACAGTCGTTGATCCGCCCACGGAAGGTCAAATAGAAGAGATATCGCATCCAGGAATAAAAATCAATTCATTTACATTGTTGGATCTGGTGGCGCGTACTGTCGTGTATAAACACATGAGGAACAATGGCATTAACAAAGACAGTATGAATTTCATTGTCTCTAACGGATTGTCATCTCGAAATGGAACTCTGCGTATTCACGTCATTCCAATCGATGATGCATTACCTATTATGTACGTCAACACGGATTTTGCCGTTGACGCAGGAAGTGCTCGCCTCTTGACTGAAAGTGATCTCCTATTGGTAGATCCGGATAGTGATAATCAGGAGTTGACGTATATTGTAATAAAACCGCCTGAATTCGGACACTTGCTGAAACAAGGTCAACCAGTTCATCACAAATTTACTCAAACTGACATCAATAATTTGCATATTCTGTATAAACAAGATGGCGGAAGATCCAGAGAGGATGCAATATTTCTTATCGCTAGTGACAACACCAATGCTGGCTTTATTGTTGATGAGGATGTTCGGTATGAACCAATAGAATTCCGCATTCAAATTAACGCAGTTCGTTCTGAATATCCTCATATCATCAACAACCAACCAGCAACGACTCTGGATGATTACAATGGTCGTTATGGTTACACACTGACAAACTTCAATCTGAAAGTAATGGACAAGGATTCGTTGGATAGCAACATCATCTATGTAGTTACCAGGCTACCATTGTTCGGGTATTTGGAATTCAAAGGCGGGCGTCAATTTTTCCATCGCACGTTCACGCAAGAGGATGTTAACAATCTCAATGTGATTTATTTCATGCACGACGAACTGAAGCAAACAAACGACAGTTTCGAATTTGAGGTTCATGACTCGCACCAGAATAAGCTAAGTAACCAGAGGTTAGTAAAATTGACATAATTTGAAATACATCTTAGCGTATGTTTCAGACACTACCCTTTTTATGCTGTATGTGTGCATACTGATGTACAGAAACTTATTTGCAAGAATCGATCATTTGCACCTGAAAATAAAATAATGGGGTTGTTTGCTAATGTATGTATCCCTATTTATGAAACAACTTACAAGCACCACTGTCACAGCACATTGTGAACTCACACTGATCAGAAAGCAACATTATTTATCAGAGATTTATATACTAGTTGGTAAAAAATTCATAATAAGTGTGATGACTTATATTATGATTATAATCATAAACATGCATTACTTTTCAATAAAAAAATTTATACTGATGCTGCCTCTGACTTTTATCAGGTTTGAATTTTTTTGAGTTGCCTTCATTCTTATTCATTTTGTGCTTTAGAATACAAGTTTTGGGCTGGCTTTAAAGTTAGAAATCTCTTTCAATATTGAATCTAAAACAACTTTTACATATTTTATTTTGTTCATGTAATAACCATTGGTTTCAATATCAACTATGTCAATGAATATAGTTATAATATTTAATTTATTAATAATAAGGCCAGACTTTTATTATCCCTTGTTTCTCGAACCCCCCGAATGAACAGGAGCCGAAAATGAAATAAAAATAAAATAATTTCTCACGCCCGCTGACTTGTAAATGCAAAAAATTTCTAAAAAAATATTATTTTTATCTTCCTTTTTTTACCGCCCGCCGCATAACAAATCCAAGTTGCATTTTTGTGGGAGTATCATGATCAAAGTACCGAAGTCTCATGCAGATGAGAAACAAGGTTATAGATGGAATAAAATTTTATTTCATTTCTCCTCTCCGATCAATGATCGCACTTAAAATTCTTTGCGAATCACAAAAATCTAATTAAAAAAGAAGAATTAATTTTATTTTATTTTTCGCCCTCCTCAAAAAAATTGCCTTATAAAAATTAGTGGAAAATTGGTTTGCAATGGTCTCATCATAGGAATGGCATTTTAGTTACATATACCGTAACACAATGTAATACTTTGGGATTAGACAATACTAGGAAAGAATGAGAGTTAGGACTGGGGGTAAGTGACAGGTTTGTATAGTATGTGGCAAGGCTTGCACAATGAAACAATTAAATAAGTTATTGTAGTATTGATCCACATGTTGTCTTGGATTAGTTGAACCATATTTTTTTAGTTCGTAATTCATTGATTTGTGAATTACCTTAACACGTGTTAAACTGCAATTATAGGAAAAGTTGACCTCAAGTTGTATTTAGACACCGTTTGAGTAATGAGAAATCTGTTTAGAGTTGGTGAAACAAATGTGACTTGTGAATAAATATTTGATTTTCATTTACCAATATCTTTAAAATTTATTTTAAAATTCCATTAGGTTTGATTTGCACTGGACGATTATTCAAATGGTACGAGCTGAATATGTGGTCTGTGAAAACATTGGTACACTCAGTGTCAACATTCAAAGATTGGGCCACCTAGCTGAGTCATCATTCATAACTGTCAAAGTGAAAGGAGTTTCAGCTACTTATGAAACTGACTTTGTTCCAAGCACAGCTGAACTGATACAGTTTGATCCTGGTGTTGCTATAGCGACATGGAATGTGTTGATTGTCGATGATGGTTTGGAAGAGAATGAAGAGAGATTCCGAGTGATGTTAAAGTCACCAATTAATGCTATATTAGGAGATAACGAGAAAGCCACTGTTCTCATTGTGGATTCCAGGAATGGTGAGTTCAATCTTGTCAAAGTCATGGAAAATAAGTGAATACTACTAGGATCCATTAATATAATGTATAAAAAGTGGTATTTTCATATTCTTGGTAATTATTTAATGCAATCGGATGTATCAGTTGATGGCCTTTTCCACAGTAGTATCTAAATAGGTAGTAGTTAAATAGAGATACTACAAAGTCTATGATACCTGATTTTTTTCAAAAGCTTTCTCAGCAACTCTTTGTAGCTACACTGTCTCAGTAGATAACAGAATGAATGCTACAATGTAAAAAATATTTTACTCATATTTGAAATACACATATTATCTCTATTGCTTTCTAGCAATGAGAATGTGTCCATGACAACCATCCAGGAAAGTCCATTGATCAACGAATAAATATACCTAAATAATTTTACAAATTTAAGTATTATATTGAATGCAGACAGTCACATGTTTTGACATAAAAAATAAGCATAGACCTTAAAATATTTTTTAGGTATTTTAAGGTCTATGAATTAAGGTAGGGAATAAAAACAAGTGTAGACTATTTATAAGATTGAAGAATCCAAGAGGGCGCCAAACAATTCAAATGTAGTAAGAAATTGTGCAGTCTATTTGGTTTGTAGTAGAGTTGCTATCTTTTAACCAAAATTTAAATGTAAAATTGGTGAAAATATCGTAAAATTCCGAATTGAGACCGCGGCTTTAATTAAAATTAATTTTTTCAATGGACGAATTCAGATGCGTGAAGTCTTGGTGTGGCTTTAATTAGAGCATTCACTTCGGTAACAGTGGGAAATTTTTTCAAAAAACAAAGGCCAGAAGGGATAATGATATGCTAATGAGATGCACAACACTCGATTGCAACTTTGTAGTGATTCTAAGCGCACTTTCGGATATTTACACACAGACAAACTTGTACACAAACGAAATTTCACTCTGTATAACATACTGCACAATAAATAATATCTACAAATAGATTTGTATGCATTTGCAGGTTACGGTACTGTATACTACAACCTCTTGAATAGACTTATTCGTTAGCACCGGTCACAACTGAGAGACAGCTGTCTGACACAGTCGATTGCGTTCGACTACTGGCATGTTCGACTTTCGGCAGAGTGACTGTACATTCCATGTTTAATATTTAGACAAATTAAAATAAAAAAATAAAAAAAAGTCCATCAAAAGAAAATTTCCGCATGATAAAAAAAAAATACTCAGCATATTATTTAATGTAATATATATTTATTTTCTTATTTTTTTTTTGATAACGAAAATTATATTCTAAAAGAAGTAAAAACAAAAATGAATGCATTCTTAGTAGCAAATGATCACGGTAACGGTCATGCTGCGTTTCACACGTATGAATAACTTATTTGTTTTCAAAGTGTTACAATTGCTGATTATTACTCAGTAGTGATTATAATAACGTACAAAAAATAAATTCGTTGAATTGTTGTGAAAATTCAACTTAGAATGATTTTAGTCACATATAAACGCTCGATCCGATATCCGCCATGCTTGTTCAAACATCTTTAGTGACTTGAAACTGTTTTTTGACCTGATAGGTCAAGTCGCTAATTAACCAATCCAAACGCTGGATGGTGCCAACGTGATTAAATTACCATAGCTCATTTAAACTCATGGTAAACGAAGCACGGAAGAGATTTGCCGTTGTTGTAGTGCGATCGTTTGGCTTTGATTTTGATGGGAAAACAGCATGATTGTTTTTAAATCAAGAAATTAGTTGTTTTTGAAAGATAAGCTGAACATTGAAGAAGAATTTAACACTTTTGACGATAATAACAGCTCATTGTCGAAACGCAGTTTACCCATTCACGCTACCCACAATAAACCAGTACTCTGGAATAAGCGTCAATGACTATGGAAAACCTAAATTAGACTCTAATCTAAGCGCCAGGAATCATTGAAATGTTCGAAAAATTATGCCTTAATTTAAAATTAAATGATATATCTTTTTCTGAAATATGTGGTGGCTGATTGGTTTGTGAAAGTTTGGGGTGCGGCTTATATTGCAGGCTTTTTCCTGGGATCAAAACTTGTCAATTTCAACATGAAACAATGTCTCAAGTTAGGGGTGCGGCTTCTATTAAAGCTGTGGCCTCAAATATGATTTTTATGGTAGTTCATCATACATGCTTCACATGAGTTCAAAGTGAATAATTCTATGTAGGCGTTGCTGATTTGTTAGTTAGTGGTGGTGATTCAAAACAAGCCAACCACAGCTTTTAAACAAGCAATAATGCATATTATAAAGACGACAATGTAATGATATCACGTAATTAGTCAAGATATTAAATTATTTTTATTTTTTCTTACTTACTAGGTCAGTGTGACAGTGGTATTTACCCCGATATTATCAGTAAGTCACCTGATAGGTCAGCTGACAGTGTAGTAAGATCTGATGATACATCTAGAGTGGGTAGTTATGTTTTTCAAACTGGAGGTAACAAAGCACAGGTGTCATCACAAGTGATATTTAGCAATGCTACCAGCACTGTCTGGAGGGTAAGTTTTTATGCATCATAAGTCACACTGTTTAAAGACGAGGCACCTCTGACATAAATAAAGAAAGAGACTTCATCCACAATGTAAATTTTGTTTTAATCTGTGGCCATGCCAATTACTGTTTTCATGAGATTTGCTCCAATATTTTAATTAACGAACCATTTTTACATAATTACGTGTACATCATTTTGACTTCATAGAAACGTTTTGTCGCAAGAGTGCAGGTATGTGAGTGCGACTTAGAGAAAATATAATTTTTTTTCTTCATTTTGGATGTCTACTCTACTCTAGCACTATTTAAATATTGTTTACTGTAAAATACTTTACTTTCATTTGGAATTAATTTTCGCTATTTTTGGTGAAGAAATGATTCAGTGAAAATAAAATCCAGCGAGTTTTCCTATATTTCACATTCAACTTGTCAAAATTCAATGAAAATTAATTCCATGCAAAAAAGTCTTTTCAGCGAAAATCATTTCCAGCTAAAATAAAATATTTCACAATAATATAAAGCTATAGCGACTTATTTCTCAAATAGTCACCTTCTTCTAAATGAAAGTACCGGTAACCTAATTTACAGTATTTGGTGTTTTTGTGTCTTTTTGGAAAAGTTTCAGTTGGAACCTAATGTGCACTGACAGCCTTCCAGAGGATTTTTCATTGATCTGTAATATCAGATTTATTAGCTCATCGTGGTGTAGAGCTCTCTCAGATTTGTTCATTCTGTGATACCTTCAATTCTCTAATTTTTATGAAATTTTTTGTCATTTTTTGGTAAAAAGTGATATTTTTGACTTCTTGTTGAAAACCGCAAGTCTGATTACCGGTACTTTGATATTACATGTATATATAGCTACTATGGGTAGACCTCATTCAGATTTGTTCATTGTGTGATATCTTTAATTCTTTAATTGACATGTGCATTGCTAACACGTTGCTTGTTATACTATTGGATTAATTATTGTTAATCACCTGCAATTAAAAGTAATTCATTTATGGGATCAATATTTTATACACATTGGTAACAATTAATTCCGAGGTAATTTTATCAGTTGTCATTACATATTTCACAATAAATATGTAGGTGGGAAACAAATCTTTGTATTGCCAACAATATAGTCCACATATGCATTAAAATGAAGATGCCCTTAAGTGAATTAAAACTATCAGTATATTGTAGAAACGTTTGAATTCACTATATTTCGAACAATTGTTAGCAAAATGTATTGTCAAGTTGGCAAATGAACAATGTTTTGGCATCTTAGAAGGCAATGACTATCTCAAAGACCGGTTTTTCTAGAAAAAAACTGCAAGAGGGAGCACTGCAATTCAGCGGCGCCACCAAGTGTGGGGGGGAGGGGTTAATTCTAAGTTAAAATGGAGCATTCTATGGCTGAAGACTGGCCACATGTGATGGCCTATCAGAATTTGATGGTTGCCAGAGGATATGCTCCCCAGGGTAAGGGGGCGCATGGCCATGGCATGAGGGTACTACACCCCTGCTTCCTTGTTTTAAAAAAATACCTGGCAGATTTTGGCATGACACGTTATAATATTATTTAGAAAATCATAGCAGAGTTCTCAACTGACATTCTGCTTGTACAGTAACCATGTGCCACTCACCAATGATGTCATACCTTTCTGCAGAATCATGGGCTGATCTCGGTTAGGACTGATCAAGATTCACCAGAGACACAGGAGTCGCCAGGGGTACCGGATAGATTAGAAGGTAGCATATTGTCTCCCAGAATTACTATAACTGATCCAAGATCGCCTCAAGAACAAACTGAGGACAAAGAAACTACAGTAATTAGGGTATGGAATGCACATACCACATAGCATACAACTAAAAAAAATGTTTTGGTGTACGAATTGAAAGAATACCGGTACTCAAGATTGGCTCTTCTACTACACATGTTGATCAGTACATTCATTCAATGCTTTATATCCACATGTATGGAGGAAATAAAAAGATTGAAGTATGACTTATGTTGAAATCTTGTCCCATATGATGTGTTGTGATCTCTGACTGTGATCACCAGAGGAAAACGTGCCAATTTTCAATGAATGTAACACATAAACATGTCATGTATGTCACATTTTACAACATCTTTTATTTGTTTCTTAATTCTCTTAACGTAAATGCTTTCCGTGCTTTATTATGCATAAAAAGTTAGAGCATTAATTAAAGATACAATCTTATAAATCGTTTTTGTAACACTCTAACAGTGTTAGAAAACTAAATGGATGTGTGAATTAATAAAGATTATATGATATTTATTGTCTCAAGAAAACAGAAAAAATTCTTGTCGTCATTGCCTTTTGAAATATATCATTGTATGTTATGTCACATATCATGCAGGTTAATCTTTTCGAGTTTAATTTCAGGTGTCTGGTCCATCACGGTGTAATGAGTCATCTGTTGGTGTTTTACACTTTGACACATCAGCCAATAAGATGTACCAGTGTGATGGTTACCGGTGGATACAGTGGAGTGAATCAGAAACAAACAAACAGAAATCAAACCACTGCAACAAAGGTATCGAAATAGTCAAAATGAGATTATGCTGGATGGAAACACTGATATGACACTGCCTACACATATTGACCGCATTATTGTGTTTTCTCAATCAGTGCATGTATTTTAATGATTAAGTACACAGCCAATGTGATTTGGGTTCATATGCACTTCTATATTGGAGATGTGCTTTTAATAGAACAAATACAGTAGTCTGATTTCATCATCTAACAAAATGTTTTGATTGATGATAAATAAACTTCCATTGCTAGTTTGGTGCATTATGTTTTGTTTTAAAAATAGTTGAAAGTGGAGATCAATTTACATGTCATAATTTTTCCCGCCATCATTTCATACAATATTTTATGTATTTTTGTATTTTTATACAGTGACCCCTCGCTAAGTCGTGCCTCAGTAAGTCACGGTTTCAGCTAAGTCGCGGGTAGTTCCCAAAAATTCTATTGTGTTTTGTCGGCAGTTTTGAAGTAAAAAACTAATGGTTCATCGCATCATGTTTTTAATTGGCCGTTAAAGTGCTGGGAGACAACTTGACACCAACTGGCCATCAATTACTGATATACAAAGGATGATGGCGGCCTGACTTGAGGTGTAGACAGGGGTATCAAGTCGTGACTTTACAAACTTCTCAATCGGTCCCCTTTTGATATAGCTCTATAAAAACTCGCTACAATGAGTTGAAACCATGCAGACATGGGTGCTGAGATGTTCAATAAAGAAAACGTGCTATAAAAAAAAACATGTATGTATATGTGGTTTTTATCCATTTTCAATGCATAAGCACCCTTTTCATGAGACCCCCTGGAAAGTCGCGACCCTTGATAAGTCATGGTTTTTGGTTGGATCCCAACATCCGCGACTTAGTGAGGGGCCACTGTATTCACATTTAGTACATGAGTGACCTTCTGTCTAGTAATGATAATGAGTTTTCATTGGTAAGTCATGACTACAGTGTTATGTTCATAAAAAAGGCTATATCCAAAGATAAAATCTTGTAATCTGAAATTTATTTAATATATTTTTATTTGAACTAAGTTGAATATCTGTAATACATTATCCTCATTTTGCATGTATTATGTCGTCATGGTATTCTTACAAATGAAAATTTAAAAAATAAAATGTTTCTCAGCTCTAGAACTTATCAATGTCCGAGCAGAGAAAATTACAAAGAAATAGTAAAACTCTTGTGTTCGATATGACAGCTCTGCCAGTAATGAAAAGAAAGTGTCCATTGTCACAAATTCCTAAATTCTAAACTCGCAAGATCTCAGCAAAAGTTGGAAATTCCTTTATTAACAGCAATTCTTGTTTTGAAATACTTTTGTGAAATCATAATGATTATAGAGACCAGTTTGTATTGGACATCAACGAAATAAAAGTCGTATTAGACATTTGTGAGGTGTGATACCCCTTACAGTGTTTTCAACATAATGTTGCTTGTTTCAATACGTAGGTTGGAGTTACCATAAAAACCTGTGTTATAGAGTTGGTGGTGAAGAAAAAACTTGGAACGATGCGCAACGAACCTGCCGGGAGCTGTAAGTGTTAGCTCTAGATTATCCAGTCACACATCCTGGTACTTTGCATGCCTCTGAAATTCACACATTATGGCACCTCGCTTACATGAGCCCTGAAGGTCAAACATCCTGGTACTTTGTAAGACCCACAAAGGTCACACATTCTGGTACTTTGCATGACCCCTGAAGATCACACATCCTGGTACTTTGCATGACCACAAAAGGTCACACATTCTGGCACCTTACATGACCCCTGAAGGTCACACAACCTGGTACTTTTTATGACCCCCAAAGGTTAAACATTCTGGTACTTTGCATGACCCCTGAAGGTCACACATCCTGGTACTTTGCATGACCCCTGAAGATCACACATCCTGGTACTTTGCTTGATCCCTGAAGGTCACACATCCTGGTACTTTGCATGACCCCTGAAGATTACACATCCTGGTATTTTGCATGACCCCTGAAGGTCACACATCCTGGTACTTTGCATGACCCCTGAAGATCACACATCCTGGTATTTTGCATGGCCCCTGAAGGTCACACATCCTGGTACTTTCTATCACAGTTTTTGCATATTATGCTTCTATTTGTATAAAATTGTCTTTAAACCTTAAATCTTTTATTCAAAGTATAATTGCCCCTACCCTCCAAAAAATA